CATAGCTCCTCCTGCTGACCCCAAGCTCCTGTTCTTGCCATCGCCTCCACACCCAGCATCACTATGATTCTGCCATATAGAGGTCCATGCGGTCCCCATCACCGGGGCATGGCCAGGGATCTTCTCCATCCCTCCTGCAGTGGGGACCCTTGACCATCATTATCCCCCCTGGGATCACAGGGATCTGTGTTGCTCCAGGGCTTGCAAACAGCCTCCAAGGCTTCTTGTGTCATGGTTTAGTGTGGATTGGCAGTTGAGGGGTTATGGTTGGACTTGATAATCCTAAAGGTCTTTTCCAACCTGGTTGATTCTCTTATTCTCTGATTCCGTGAATCTGTGATTCTTGAGTTTGTCCCTGTACCCATGTGCTAGGCCTTATATGAGGCAAAAAAGGAGTTTGGGAATGAAATCCCTGTTCAGCCCCACTGGGATTGTGGGAGGATGCTCTGGAGGGTAGCTCCAGCCAAACAAAAGCCATCCCTGGGGGTTTGCAGTTAACCCTGGTGCTGAGGGATGTGCAGGGTCTCAAGTTATAAATCCTTTGGCCCAAGCCCCCACCTGAGAAAACCATCACACCCAGCACATCCTTCGTATTGGAATCGTTTTATTTAGCAAGTCTCCAGAGCGTTAAACTAAAACTCCCATAAAACAAGGATCATCTTTCTGTTTACATGGAATTCATATGCTGAACAAAAGAAGGAGACTTCTGCAGAGGTCAGAACATCCCAAAACATCCCTTTAAGAGAAATAACATCAGTTTTCTGTTCTGATCGCGCTGGTCAGCAATCAGCAGTGAAGCAGAGGGTACAAGAGGGAAGGAGGGAGTGATGGAGGTGAAGGATGCGGGGAGGTTCAGTCCTACAACCAGGCAAAATTCCTTCCCTGCTGCACCCAGGCCATGAAACACTGTGGGGGGATAAAACCTATTTTAAGGAACAGGGATAGTTTGGGATCTGTTTGTGTGCAGAGGCTGCTGGAAAGGAAGAGCAGTGGCTGAGCACCCAGTGAGGTGGGTACCAGGGAGGAGGATGCAGCGGCCGGCAGCGGGATGCGAAGCTGTTTCCCCCTGGCCACAGGCACATTGCAGGTGGGATGGGGATCTCAGTGCCCGGTCCCCAGCAGCCTTTTCCCCCCTGCAGCTCCCGCAGGGCCTGGCACAGCGCTGTCAGAGCTGCCAAGGCTTATCTTTAGCTCTGTTCCCTCCGTCGCCTCCGCGCCCACCTCCTCGCCGCGCACCCGGCCCCCACCAAAACACGCCGTTATATAAGTGCTCGCAGCAACCATCTGGGGCTGAGTCAGACCCACGAACCCAAACGGACACGAGCCCACGAGGTGGGGATGCCACCCCCCCCCCCCCCCCCCCGGTAACAGGCTTTTAGGGTCATCCCACTCCTCTAATGCACATCCCTGAGCATCCGGCACTCCGCACGCAGAGCCGGTGTGGAGATGCTGAGCAGGGATGCTGGAAGGGGATAGGGAGAAATGTCCCAGGAGTGATGCTTGGGGTCATCACAAAGCGCTGGGGAAGAGGGGGATAAATGTTAATTAATTACACACTAATGAGGTGTTGCCAAAATAAATGTGCTAGCTGCAGGGGAAGAGGAGGGGAAGCACCGACTGGCTGGGGAAGGGGTGATGCTCTCAGACAAATCTCCTCTTCCCTCCCCATCCACAACCTTAATATCCCATCTTTCCTTCCAGCAGCACCACAGTGCCCAGTTTGACTCCAAGTGTGTCCATTTGGGGTTGTTTTCCCCCTCAAAACCCAGTGTCAGGAACCAGGGGTTTCCTTCACCTCCTTTAAATGCCTGTTTTCCTCCGAGAGCAGCAGCGTGGCGAGCGCCTGTGACCCGGACTCGGCAGCGTTGTGCTGATTCACGCCGGCTTGTCACCAAAACTGCCTAAAACCGACAGGGAAAGGGACGCTGACTCATGTGTTTGCCTTCTGCCAGCGGGGAGAGATGTGAAAGGTGAGCAAAGCGCTTAACAGGTGATAATTGCATTCAGCGCTGTATCCGATCCATATTCATGAGCTGGAATGTTATTACTAAAGAGGCCTTTTACAATTAAGAGGGGGGGAAAGAAAAGAGAAATATTCAAGGTTTTTAGCCTTGACAGTGACCTTTTAACAACAAGTGTAAGGAAACCCCTAATTTTGTCCCACTCATGGTTCTAAATCTGTGTTAAGGAGAAACTCCAGCTGCTGCCTTCCTGGTCTCCGTGCAGGTATGCCGGTGGCTGGCTCCTCATCCGTATCCTGTTGTGCAGTGGGATGAAACCCACCATGGGATGGGGGGGGATGTGGCACGAGGAGCTGGGGAGCCAGCCCCTCGGTGGGGGAGCCCTTGGTGTTGCTCTCCAGGGCAGGTGTAGCGGGAGAAAAGAGTTGGAAAGGGTCCACCTTAATGCAAGATGAAAAAGCAAATTGCCAGCAGGAGAGCAGAGATGCTGCTCCGTTACTATGGTTACCCCAGAGACAACCAAGCATCCCTGGGTATCGCCATGCGGTACCCGAGCTGCTCCCGGCCACCCGGAATGGTGCTGGGGCAAATCAGGTGGGCAAGGGAACAAGTTTGGAGGGATTTGTGGGGTCTGAGCTTCTCGAAGCAGGCAGGAGAGGATGCATCCAGGATGAGTGGATGAGCAGCATCTCCAGTGGGGCCGGGGCAAGGTTCCTGCCTCCAGCCCTCTGAGATGTGGTGCGAGGCCTTAGCATGGCTGATTTGTTAGGAAGCACTGGGGATTTGGTTAGGAGAGTGGCACCAATCCACACCAGTTCAGGAGTCAGACCAGTGTGGTGCCCTCCCTGCGTGGCACCGTGGCACCAAGACACAGCAAGGGCACACAGCGCAACACGCAACTGCATTCCAGCTCCACCCTGATGGGAATCCAGAGCTCACAGCCTCTCTGCTTATTGTCTGCCTGATAAAGAGGGGTTGGCCCACCCAGATTTTGGTGGTGATGTGTTTGAGCTAAACACATCCAAATGGATGAAACGATACCCTGCTTCTGGGGAGGCCAGAAACCTCTGCAAGGGCACACAAAGATGCCCTGGTCCCCTGAAGCCAAAGGGAAAGAGGTGAGAGCTGGTGGAATGCTGAGTTTAGAGAGGGTTTTAGCATTTAAAGATCTCTTGAGTACTAAAAGTGGGGTTTGCCAGCCAAGAAACAGCCCCAACCTCAGCCCATTGGCTTAGCATCCCTGCTGGAAGCACCCTGGCCGTGCTTATAGGCGGTAAGGAAGGTCCTTCCCTGCCTTCCCATCCCTGCTGATCCTGGCCACCACCACAGCCTGTTAATTTAGCTCTAAACCCTGAAGACAACGATGATCAGAATGGAAATAAAGCAAGGACTGAACGACCTGGTAGCGCATTTCCCCTGGTGCCAGTGCCAGCTTGGCTCCCTGGGGATTTCTGCTACAAGAGCCACTGAGGGAGGAATTCTGGAGGCAGTGGGAGCAGTCCCTGGGGAGCTGCTGACTTATCATTAAATGCTTCCACAACGAAGCGATGGGGTTTGTAGTGCAAACTGCTGTGTGAAGAGTCACTGCCAATGGCAAAGCAAATGCTCCAGCAGCGCTACACGGGCTGATGCTTGTCCCCAGGAGAGATGCTGCCAGGGCCCTGCAAGAGCATCCCCTGCATTATCCCTGGCATTTTCCTTTCTGACATCCAGTTTTGGAGGAAAACAGGGAGCTTTTCCCCACCTCACCTCCTGTAACAGGCCGTTACATTCCCCAATAACCCCCTCTCCTGTCCTCAGCAGGAGAAAAGCTTCCAGAAAAGCATCTGGTCCAGATTTAAAGGCATTAAGAGACAGAGATTGGTAGCTTGTTCTAATAGCTAATCATTATTAAAAGATCGCTCCTTATTTCCAAGATAGATTTGTCTGGCTTCAGCTTCCAGGAAGAGGTGGTTATTATGCCTTTCCCTGGTAGATTAAGTTACCTCCTTGTACCAGTGTATCCTCCCCTTGACAAATGCTGTAATCAAGTCACCTCTCAGTCTCCCCCTTTGATAAATTAAACGTGCTGTGCTCTTCAATCATGCTTAACCCCGGCCCTGTCTTTGGTGATTAGAGCGAGTGGATGGCAGTGATTTTCTTTTAATGAGTAAAAATCTCCTTTATGGGGTAAGGGATGGAGCTGATGGGATCCAGCTGAACACCACTGATGGGTGGAAGCTATAGGTGACTGGTCACAGATTCAGACCCTGAGAAAAGATGCTGAATAGTTTCTCCAGGTTATCTTGGTCCACGATCCCCATTTCCAGGTGCAAAAGCCAGGAGGAGAATCCAGGATGGCAAATCCACGGGCTCTGTGTCCACCAGGTCATTAACCTCTCCATAAATAGCATCCCACACGCTCGTCCTGCTTTCCTTCGGCCGTGACATACCATTAAAGACATTTAAGCTGTCACTTGGACAGGGTGTGATGTCCCCTGAGGTCCCCGAAGGAGGTGACAACCATAGGAAATAGATCCTAATGGAGCCCAAGGGGAACCAAGGTCGCTCTGGGAAGATTTGTTGGGGCAGTCTCGGATGACTGGGCTCTTTCTGCCTGGGCTCCAGAGGCATTTTCCCATCTCCAGGCTCCCTGCATGGCTGAGCTGCTGCGATCCGGTCCCCTGGCAAAAGCCCATCAGTGCAGCAGGGCAAATGGTACCCGCATTATGGGGCTGTGCAGGGACCCTGCAGAACCCTCATCCCGCTGAGCATCCCTGCAGCTCCTTCAGCAGAGAGATAAAGCTATCCTCACCTGCAGGATAACAGGGAACACATGGATGTGGGGCTCCTGCTCCTACCTAGAGGCAGCAGGATGGACCTAAAAGGCTCCTAAAGCATCTCTGGTTGTCCCGCTGGCCCCCAAGTCTTGCACCAAGTTTTCTGCACATATATATATATTATATGTGGGACAACTGAGAGGCTTGAAACCACGTCTGAAGTTTGCTCCAGGCAGACACTTCCCTGTGATCTTTAAAATATACAGCATGACGCGAGGGATTTTAAATAGATCAAAATACATTTATTACATATTTATATTATTTTCTCTAGTCTATTTATATCTTTTGGAGACTCTTATATATAATATATATAATATATTTAAAATAACATAAAATTGGCCAGTTTTGTCATCTGAAATACATTTTACAAATATATATATACATTGACACATATATCTCAAATATATGTGCAATGAGACAGAGAAACACCAGAGGTGGAAAAGGTACAGATACTTCATTGCATCCATCAGCTCATCTATGGCTGCGCGTCACCGTCGCCCCAGCGACTCGCCCTTTTACCCCTGGGAAACCAGTGCTCCCAGTTGCCAACCTGCCCGTGTGAACTGGCGCTGGGTCTCGGTCCCCAAACCCTGTGGGATCAAGCCTGTGGGAGCACCAGGGTGTTTTGGGGGGGATGATGGAGCCCCAGGAGCGGGCAGCAGCACAGATGTGCTCAGCGATGGGTGGCATCAGGTTGGGCACTGTCCTCATGTCCCCTCCCTGCTCATAACACAGCCAGATCCTGCCCTGTGCCAACCCCACCGTGGCAGCATTCCTGAATTTGGGGGGGGGGGGGGTGGTTAAGAGAGCAGGATCCAGCTGGAATGCCAAACCCGGCTGCCATACACTCATTTCAGTGTGAAAGAAACGGAAGATGGAGGGGAAACACACTGGGGATTCTTTTGGTTGTCAGCACGAGAGGAAAGGAAAGAGCAGGAGGGTTTAAAAATAACCGTATTTGTTCTGCCTTATTAAAGATAGAAAAGGTGGCTCTGGATTCATCTCCTACAAAAGGTTTGAAGGTCAAGCAGGCACCGAATCGCAAAAGGTTAAGCACTAAGTGATTGTCCCAGCCCTAAAAGAAGACTAAGTGCACTAAATTCCGTTATGAGAAGCTAAGGCTCATCCCAACGGCTTCCAGCCCTGGGGATCTTCTGCCCGGGTCTCCCATGGGCAGAGGATGCTCTTCCGATCCAGGGGGTTTGGGGCACAGGGATGCGGCTGCTTTCTGCTCTCACTGGTGTATTTCGGGGGGGTGAAGCCAAGCGGGAGCAGCAGCGGGTCCAGCTCCTGGTCCCCATGGCTGGTGCTGGAGGCTGCTCCAAGCCCCAGCCGAGGGCAATCCCTATGGGATGCTGGCCAAGAGGATTAGCGGCTCTTGCCTTTCTCGGCCTCCTGCCATCCTCCAAGGATCAAGTGTAACGCTGGAGTTAACTCCATGGATGCAGCGGCCTCGGCTTGGAGGACATGGCTGATGGCTGGTTCAAGGGGAGCATGTCCCCCTGCTTTCCTCTAATCCCCTTCCCACCGGGATCCCGCTCCATCCCTTGGGTGACCAACACTAAACCCCACACCCCGCGAGCATCCCTGTGCCTTTCCAACCCCTCATTGGAACCCAAGTGCCAAACAAACACCACCTGGGGGCCTTTTTCCACTCCCCTCCTTCATTCTTTAACAACCCATGTGATTCCAACCCTCCCTGGGCAGCTGCCCCAATGCTCCCTGATGGTGAGAAAGAAGACCAATAGCTCAGAGCACTCACAGGTAGGCAAAAATAAGGTTTATACACTATGTACCAGCGTGGTCCATGGCCAGGACGAGGACTATACAGTATATATATGACAACTCGCCAGAGCTAGATCCTCACTAGTGGGGAATGGGAAAGGGGGTATGTGAACAGGGGCCGGGAAGGGTCCGAACCCCCCATCCATGGGCACTTCCCGGCCTGGTTCACATCTTCCTACGCAGCAGTTTAAAAATACATCTGTATATATTATTCTATTCTCCCAGGTAACACTGTACAGTCATAGAAGTTTCTTTAAAAGCAATAATTTACTTAAAGACATCTCTATTTTTTCCTTCTGTTGTTTTATACAAATATTTACTGTGAGATATATATATATATTTATAAAGAAAGGAACCCTCTGAGAACCCTACAGCAGCAAGATGTGCACCTTTTGTTTGTATAATAATAAGTATTTATTCAAAAGAACCTAAACCACTTAAAAGCATCTTCTTAAAAAAATAAATAGGTAGTGAGCACACACAGTCTCTCTGCCCCCCCTTTTCCATCGTTCCCACCCCCTGGATGCTATGGTGCAAAAAGCAGGTGGGAAAACCATGCCCCCCAGGAGCAAAGGGATCGGTGATGGGATGGCATCCGCGTTCCCTGCCTTAGAAACATGTATGTTGTGGCCAGAGCTCAATGGCGTATCCCTGTGTGTCCCTGCTTTTGGGGCTCCCAGTGCTAGCCCCGGGGATGTTTTCTCCCAGTGGCTGGCTTTTAGGGCAGCCCCATGGTGGGCAGTGTGGGGTGGTGGTGGTGATGGATGCTGTTAGGAACTGCAGGGATGATATCCCGGTCCCTTTCCCGCAGCCGAATGGTGAGATGCGATGCTTGGGGACACAGGGAAGTGGGGGGCACTGGGGAAGCTGCTCCCCAGAGCCCTTTACAAGATGGGGATGAGGACACAGGACAAATCTTGCCTTTGCCACCGAGGTTTGGACATGCCACAGCAAGATGTAATGCCAGGACACGGCTTTCCTGATGTGGGCCTTGGGGAGAGAAGCACCGGGAACCTGTCACACTGACAGGGACCCGGCTCTCAACGCCTTATCCCTAAGGATGGGTGCTATCGGGCTCCACACCCAGGGTTGGGTGTGGGATGCCTGTGGATACCAAAGCCTTTCCCACAGCCACAGGGAGCAGGGAGCCAGATTTTGGCTCCCAGAGCACCAATGAGCAGCACAGCCTGGATGGAGGGAACGCAACCTGCCTGTTCCAGCTCCTTCCCTCTTGCAAAGGCAGGGAACAGGGCAGGAGCCAAGGCTTCCCATGCATGGGGTTGCTTTGCCTTAGCAAAAGCTAAACCAGCGTGCCACCAAGGCCAGCCTAAACCACAGCAGACAGTGGGATGAGGACACTGCCACAGAGGCAGAGCAAAGGGGGCATCACCCCGGGGAGGGATGCAAGCAGGGAAGCAGGATACCGCAGAGGAGGGCTTGGTGTGGGATGAGTTTGCATCTCTAAGGCACAATCCACCTCAAGGCTGGGACGCAGGGACGGGTTGAAGTGCTAGACAGGGTGGTTGCTTTTGTCTGGCCTCAGTTGGTTTAGGGAAAGCATCTGCCTCTGAAGCAGGACTCTCCGGTGAATGGGGAATTCTTAAATCCCAGCCTGGCACAGGGACAGCTCCTGTGCTAGAAGAAGTGCAACCCACCAAGATGACTGTCACATTGGTTTCCACGTTTGAAATGAGTTTTTCAAAGGCGAAAATACCAAATTGGTTGGAAAAGGGGGGCGGGGGATACCCAATCTTGAGAGCTTTCCACTCTCCTTTTTGTGCTTTTCACTGTTTTGTCCCAGTTACGGCGAAACTCATGAATTCCCCATCGGAGATGCTGGGGGAGACCCAACGCTTCAGCAGCTGATGCCGCACGCCCCATTTCCACCCTGAAGATCAGCATTTCCTGAAACTGGCTCATCGCTGTGTTTGCAATGCTTCTCTCTCTCTGGTTTGAACTTCCCTTTGCCAGTCATTATGCCACTTGCTTTTGCTTCCACAGACCTCCAGTCACTTACGTCTGTTTTCTACCTATGAAGCCATTGCCAGTGGCAAACAAACCACCCCAAAATTGGATGCAGTCTTGACTTCTAGCTCTTAAATCTTGCCCAGCAAGTCACCCCCTCAAAGGACCCTGGTGGCTTATTCATTCCCTAGTTCATTTGTATAAAATACCGGATGACTTTGTTCAGATTTAATATTATTATTATTATTGTTATTATTATTATTATTATTATTATTTTGGTAAACAGTCTCCCAAAGAGTTTCAGTGAAAAAATTAAAAACTCTCTCACCTCTCACTCCCCTCCCTTTTATTCCCCAAATTAAAAAGCAGTACGTTAATGTTGCATGGTATTTCAAGTGTTGTTCTTGTGCAACTGAACCCGACCGCCTGTTGGAAGGAGCAATTTTGTTGCTGTTGTTGCTGCTCAGTTAAAAATGAAAGGAAAAAAAAAAGTAAAAGAGAAAGATTTGTTTCCTGATAATTCCTCTTTTTGGATCTCGGGTCCAAGAAAACGCTTTCCCTGCAAGGAGAGCAAAGCCCCATGGGGGCACATGGGGCGAGCGCCTTCCCGCACCCCACTGACCTTCGCCATCCATCCATCCATCCATCCATCCATCCATCCATCCATCATCCATCAATCTCTCCATCCACCCAACTCTCCATCCATCATCTATCCACCCATCCATCATCTATCCATCTATCCCCCCAGAGCCACCGGCCCCACCGCGGGCACCGGGCGCGGGAGCCGCGCCGTGGCCCTGCCGCCGTCCCCTCCTGCAGACCGCTCAGTGGTTATTGCGATGAAACTGAACACTATGAACGATACTAATTTCTCAAGCATTCCTATGGCACTTGCATTGTTCTGCATAATTGGAGCGGGTTTTAGGGGAAGAGATTAGAGGAGGAAAAAAAATACCCTCGGAAAAGTCAATGGAAGGACCAAGAGTCATATTTCCGACTCCCTCCTGTATGACCGCTGATCCAATGCTATTGTGGCTTGCAGCCTGTCGAACTCGTGCCTGTTGTCTGGGCTCAGTTCCTCCAAACCCCGGCTGTCATCGTCTTCCTCTTCCTCGTCGCGGCTCATGAAGGCCAGCTCGTTCTCGTAGCAGAAGGAGTTGGTGCTGGACAGCAGGAATTTGTTCTCCACCAAGTCCTTGGCGCTGCAGCGGGGGGTGGACGGGACCTCGTAGGTTTTGTGGAAGTGGGAATAGTCTACTTTGTACTGGTTTTTCTCCTCGAACAAGACTGGCTCGAAGCGGTGGCCCCAGAGGATCTCACTGGCCAGGTAGGAGCTCCGAGCTTGCGTTGTCATAGCGGTGGCTTCCACCATGCCTTCCAGAATGACCACGATCTCAAAGTCGTCCGTCTCCAAGTCCTGGCGGCTGATCCCGAACAAGGGGCTGTCTTCGTTGATCTCGTGGAGAATGGTGATGGGAGACACCAAGAAGATACGGTCCAAGCCTTTATCAAACCCCACGTCGATGTCTATTTGGTCAAGGGGTATGTACTCCCCTTCTTCTGTGATCCTGGGCTTAATTAGCTGAGCTCGTACGTGGGCTTCTACTATGTGGCTTTTCCGGAGGTTCCCAACTCTCCACATGAGGCAGAGTTTTCCATCTCTCATTGCCACTACCGCGTTATGGCTGAAAAGCAAAGTCTGGGCCCGTTTTTTGGGCCTGGCCATCTTTGCCATTATTGCACCAATCATGAAAGAGTCAATTATACACCCCACGATGGACTGAACCACCACCATGAAGACGGCGAGCGGGCACTCCTCCGTCACGCAGCGGAAGCCATAACCAATAGTCGTTTGGGTCTCGATGGAGAACAGAAAAGCAGCCACAAAGCCATTGACCTGCAGAACGCAAGGCTTGAAGGTATCATCTCCAACTGGGTTTTCCAGGTCTCCGTGAATGAGTGCAATGAGCCAGAAAATCAGCCCAAACAACAACCAGGACACTAGAAACGCCAAGGAAAAGAGCAAGAGCATATACCTCCAGCGGATGTCAACGCACGTGGTAAACATGTCCGCAATGTACCTCTGCGGCTTGTCGTCCATGTTGGTGAACTCCACGTTGCACTGGCCGTTCTTCTTTACAAACCTGTTCCTGCATTTCCTCCTGGTGTGGATTTTCCCATTGCCAAAGCCGTTGATGCCTGGCATGGTTGTCAACCTCAGCCCGTCTTCCTCGGAGGACACGATGCTGTAAGGGTTGACTCTGCCGGCAGTCATCCCTGAGCCAAGCCCACAGTGAAGGTGAAGGGTCCTGTGACACCCAGCGTCCCCCTGGCCCACCCCTGCCCACCCCCCAAGTTCTGTTGCGGTGGAAGAGGAGTCCCAAGCTTCCACGTCTTGGCTGCCACGTCAGCACGCTGATCCCGTGAGAGGCTCTGCAAGGAGAAAACAAGGACACGTTTCTTACTTCTCATGCCAAAGGTACCCAAAGGGCTGTTTGGCCATGGGTCTGACAGGGTGGGTGGCTGCATGTTGAATGAAGACACCCCCCCCAATGAGCTAACTCTCCTTCTTATGCCTAGGCATAAGAGGAAGAAGAAGGTCTTAGAGTTCATCCTTTCATACTACAGAGCGAGTGAGCAAACCTTGCTGGGGAGATGGACCATTTGTGGGAGCCTCAACGACAGCAGTGGATGAAAAGCCTTGGGTAGCACTGGAATCTCTTCCCCTTCGCTTTTCTCATGAACTCCGCTGTCAGAGCAGGGTCAGGCTGCTGGAGAGGAAAGCGGAGAGGCCAAGATGTTCTCCTCAGCAGATATCTCCTTAGAGATATCAATAAAGGTACTCCTGAAAGCAGCTCCATCAGTTCACATTGCCCGTGCCAGATGGACCGCTGCCCAGCACATTGCAGCAGCGGCTGCCCGACCTCCTGAGCACCAGCTCTTCTGGGGTCAAGGGAAAGCTCAGGGAGATGTGGATTTAACCTCCATCTCCCAGCCCCGGGATGGGAGAGGACACGGTCAACGTGCAGCCGGTTGGAGAAGGCCCCGGGAAGGCACTCACTTGGGGCAGAGGAGCAACTTTCCCAACGCATCCATTGGGACACGGAGCCATCTACGGTCACAGATGGGTTTTGTTGGCCAAAACCGATGAAGGGACAACTGCCACTGGGGAATGGGGAGCTGTTTTGATCCTTTTTAGAGGGCTCAGCTGCAGGGTCAAGGACCTACACATGGCTTTGCCTGGGAAAGACGTGGCATGGATATAGGAGAGGAGGCCCAAGCTGGGACGGTGGGGGAACCCAGTGGCACCCTGGCAGAGGGGACCCCATCCCCTCTGCAATGGCGTGTGTAGCTGCATCAGGCAGTGAACAGCATTGTAGAAGCCACATGGCACATAAAGCACCCTATAGAGGTGGCACGGCAGGAACGCTCCCCAAACCCACCCCTGCTGCAGCTCATCCTGTTATTTAGGGACATGGGATGTGTCACTAACAACGGAACCACCTTGCTGGCAATGAGACCTGCATGGAGGAGCAGTGTGGTGGGGAATGGACGCAGAGCCCCATGTAACACCCCATTCCCCAGCCTGGCTCACGCCTGGGGGCACAGTTGATCCCGCCGGGCTGTACACGCTATGTCGGATCCACTGGCATCGGATCGATGCAGTCGATTCCTGCTATCAGCTCGAGTGCTTGGAGCTATGCTGGGACAAGAACACCCTTTCCATTACACCATTACATGGTGGCCGGCACCAGGGAGCATTGCCAGGCACAGCCTGCCTGGGGCTGCATCAGCCTGACTAGCAATGATACCCTGGGTTGCCTTCTTACTGAAGATCTCCCCAAATCCAGCCTGGGATTTGGGAATCCCAGCACCACAAGCAGAGCACTGACAGCCTACCCAAACCTCCCAGGTCCTGATACACCAAACAGCATCTTTCCTCCAGCACAACCTTGTTTTATCCCCAAGCGCCACTGTCATTTATGGTGTGTCAGCAGACCAAGGGATTGCTCACACCGACGTGAGAGCCTCTCCCTCCTTCCAGACGTTCGGAACAGCAAAATAGGCATGAACACTAATATTAACTTTGAATATTTCCAACTTGGAAGTCAAATGGGACCGAAGTGGCTGTGCAGAGCTGATGTGTCAGGATGGCTGCAGGCTCACACTGCCAAATCCTTGCTGCTCACCCATCCCCAGTATCCCTCCTGACCGCACCAGCTCCATTCATTTATCTCCCTTCTCCTTTGTCAATGAGAGCGGAGCGTGGGGAGCCAGAAGAGGCTGTTTCTCCATCACCCCTCTGGATGTCCTTTTAATGAAGTCCTGGTACATCGGAGAAGGGAGCGAACTGCAGAGAGCGCCCGGTGACCTGCGCAGGATTAGCTGGGGCTGGATTAACTGTGCTGGCAGGCAGACGTGCAGGGCACTGCAGAGGCAGCAGCGCTGCCTTCACCTGGGGGACAGCCCCAGGGACCCCCGGGCTCCCCACTCACTGTCACCGCTCCCCTCTGTCTTCCCCCTTTCCCCCTTCCCTCCTTCCATCCCTCCTGTCTTCCCTTCATTCTTCCTTCTTCCTGCTCTTTTATTTTTATTTTTATTTATTTTTTCTGTTTTTTTTTCTTCTTTTTCTCTTGTTTCTTTTTGTTTTCTTTTTTTCTTCCCTTCTTCTTTCTTTCTCCTCTTCCCTAGTACTTTCTCTTTCCCTTTCCCTTTCCTTTTCCCTTTCCCTTCCCCTTCCCCTTTCCCTTTCCCTTTCTCTTTTTCTCTGCTTTTCCCTTTCTGCTTCCCTTTTTCTCTCCCTTTCCATTTCTGTTCCACTTCCCCTTTCCCTTCCCCTTTCCCTTTCCCTTTCCCTTTCCCGTTCCCTTTCCCTTTCCCTTTCTTTTTTTCTCTCCCTTTCCCTTTCCCTTCCCTTTTTTCTCTCCCTTTCCCTTCTCCTTTCCCTTTCCCTTTTTCTTTTTCTCTCCCTTTCCCTTTCCCTTTCCCTTTCCCTTTCCCTCTTTCCCTTTCCCTTCCCCTTTCCCTTTCCCTTCCCCTTTCCCTTTCCCTTCCCCTTTCCCTTTCCATTTCCATTATTTTCCCTTTCCCCTTCAGTTTTCCTTTTTACTTTCTTTTTTCCTTTTCCCTTTCTCTTTTTTTCTCTTTTTTTCTCTTTCTCTCTTCCTCTCTTTCCTCCCTTCCTCCCTTCCTCCCTTCCTTCCTTCCTTCCTTCCTTCCTTCCTTCCTTCCTTCCTTCCTTCCACCCCATCCGAGCACCCCAGCATCAGGGAACCCTTTGCTGCAGGAGGATGCCAGGACAGACCCGAGGGGCTGACACTGCTTCAGGGATGGAGCAGCTCCAGGTCCCACACGGGACCCCGCATCCACTGGGGCTGAGTCTCCCCTGGAAGCCGGCAGCAGCAGCAGCATGGGGAGACAGCAGCTAAATAAAGGCGCTCAGAGTGGCTCTGCCGGAGCAGCCGCCTGCGGCTCCTGCTTTATTTAGCCCCGTTTTGTTTGGAAAAACTCTCTCCGAGTTTGCTGAAAGCTGAGTTTCTGCTGTGGTTCCAATGGGAAGGCTCGAGCCCCACGCTGCCGCCGCGGGAGGCTCGGGCTGGGATACAGCTCATGGAAACCCGCGGCCGGATGGGCTGTGCCGTGGGTACCAGTGAGGAACCACGGCCCTATAGGGACCCTGTGCGTCCTTGGGTCACCCTCCAGCATCACCCTGGCATCTCCCAACTGATGGAGGTGTTATAAGAGGTGACATCCCCCTGTCCCTGCCTCCTCTCTGTGTGTTTCACACCCCTGAGCATCACAATTCCACCCCCTGGGAGCAAACTCAAAGCTTTCCCTAATAACCTCTTCCCCCTTAATCCTATTGTCAGTGCTGACAAACCCATGCTGGGTGTTGAGCAGGTCCAGGACCATCCCCTGCTGCTCTTGTGCAGCACTAATAGTGTTAACACGTAGGAAACAAAACAAGCCCATAATATCAGTAGCGGGAAGGAACAGCCCATAGCGCCATGGACTACCCCAGCTAATGAGCTGACATTAGAGGCAATGACTCCTGCCACTAAACTGCAGCCACCAAAATCCCACCACGAAGCGAATTCCCGCAGAGAACCCAAGTGTTTCCAGCAAGCTGGATGCCTAATCTTATTTTCATTCTATTTTAAAAGGGAGTTAAATGTTAACACCAAGCTTCTGAGCAGCCTGTGAGCCAAGGACACGTGCGCAGTGCCGGGGAAGTCACTAGTTAGAGCCCATTGAATGTGTCGGTGAGATTTAGCATCACACCTTTCCACCGTAACCACTGGAAGGGGATGTGTTTTAGGGCCATCAGGGATGCTGCTCCCCCTCCTGCAACCCCTCGGTGTGGATTTTCTCCCTGTGAATGGAAGGGGAATGAGCTGAGTTCAAGTGGGATGAACCCATATGGAGACTCGGAGGAGCTGAGGCTGCGGATGGAGGTGACCATAGAAGAGGGGATGGTGCAAGGAGGTCACTCTCGGCGCTGCTGCCTGCCCTGCGCTGGGAGATAATGCTGCTATCTCCTGCAGCAATGCCCTTCATGCCCCAGCAGCGGGACAGCAATGTCAGCACCGAGGAGGGAGCTCTGCCGTGGCCACACCAGGGTGCTCAAACCCCTCCTGCTCACCCCGTCCTGATGAAGTGACCCAGCACTGAGCACCCACACAATGGGGGTCAGTGGAGCTGCGGAGGGGAGGCTGCTGCCTTAATAACTTGGTCCTCCAAAGCCCTGCTTTTGGGTACTTCCAATAAATTAAGGGTTGACATGGAGGGGGGGCCAGGCCCTTATAAATGGCCCTCCAGTTTCCTTCTGCTGCCGGGGTTATTGTTCCTAAGAATGGGAGAAAACTGCTCTGTTTTGGCAAGGACATGGACAGAAAACAGCCGCAGGCATGCATCCCCCCCCCATGGAACCCCATGCACCCCCTTAGTGCCAGCGAGCAGCCGAGACATCGCTGTCTGCAAGCCTTGATGGTGCACGCAGGAGGGAAACTGATGCACAAAGGACAAGGAAGGCCCTTGGTGGGGAATATGGAGGGAATGGGGTACCTGGAGAGGTGCTGGCTCATCCCCATCCCCCTGAGCCACGTGCGGATGCTGCCGCATGGGAGGAGAAAAGGGTCCACGTGCGGTGCTCAGCACCACCGGGGCCAGGTGGCCTCTGCAGGGTGATGGGCTTGTGCTTAAGCGCCATAAAACTGCTATATGTGCCCTGGATCAGTGGGGATCCTGGGAAAGATCCCTACAGGGGCTGCATTGAGCACACGGTTGGTCCCCAAATACCATGGCACAACAAGGGATGGAGCATCCCGGTCCAGATGCCTCTGTGTCTGTTCCAGCCCCAGCACCCATCTGGGCTCCAACACCAAGGCTTCACAGTTAGGACCCCACCACCACTCCTGTGATGTCCTCCCCTC